GGGCGCAGGAGTTGGCGCTGGCGCATTCTGACGTCGGCGCTGGTGTAGGTGTTGGCGTTGGTGCAGGCGTAAGCACAAACGTTCATGTCACGGACTCCGTGCGCGGCGAGGCCCCGCGTTGGTGTCGTCATAGGCGCTGGCGTTGGGGCCGGCGTAGGCGCAGGCGGGGATGCTGGCATTGATGCTGGCGTCTGTGACGGCGTCCTGCGAAGGCGAGAGCGTTTGTGCGCGGCGATTCTCGGCGTTGGTGCTGTCGTAGGCGTCGGCGTTGGTGCTGGCTGGCAGGGCACTCGAGTGGTGGGGCGCGCGGGGCGCCCAAGCAGACGGGACAGCTGCATGAAGGCTGTCCTGCGAACGTGGCCGTAACTCTGCCTGTGGGGGGGTAGGATTTGTTGCCACGTGTTGTGCCGTTACGAATAACTGCCCGAATTTCCGCGCTTCCAGCAGAGCGGCCGCCCGAACCATATTTGGTTCAAGCCAGTAGTGTTGGCTCGCCTGTGATGGTGTCGTCACCAGCGAAGGCGCGAGCGTTGGCGCTGGCGCCAGTGCCCATCGGTTAGCTGGTCAGCTCACCGTTGCGCAGGCCTTGGCGCCGACGTGGGCGCAGGCGTTGTTGCTGGCGTATACTGACGTCGGCGCTGGCGTAGGTGCTGGCGTTGGTCCCAGTGTAGCTGTAGGCGTCGGTGCCGGTGGAGGCGCTGGCGTTGGTGCCAGCGTAGGCGCAAACATTGATGTCACAGACTCGGTGCGCGGCGCTACTCGGTGTTGGTGCTGTCGTAAGCGTCTGCGTTGCTGCGGGCGCAAGGGCCGATGTCGCCGCTGGTGTAGGCGCTTGCGCCGGTGCCGGCGTAGGCGCAGGCGTTGATGCTGGCATTGATGCTGGCGTCTGTGACAGCGTCGGCGCTGGCGAAGTCGCAAGCGTTGATGCTGGCGCCAGTGCGCAGCGGTTAGCTGGTCAGCTCACCGGTGCGCCAGCGTTGGTGCCGACGTCGGCGCAAGCATTGGTGCTGACGTATACTGACGTCGGCGCTGGTGTAGGTGCTGGCGTCGGTCCCAGTGCAGTCGTAGGCGTCGGTGCTGGTGTAGGCACTGGCGTTGGTACCGGCGCAGGCGCAGACGTTGATGTCACGGACTCGGTGCGCGGCGATGCTCGGCGTTGGTGCTGTCGTAGGCGCCGGCGTTGGTGCTGGCGCAGTGGTTGACGTCGCCGCTGGTGTAGGCACTGGCGTTGGTGCTGGCGTGGGCGCAGGCGTTGATGCTGGCATTGGTGCTGACGACTGTGATGGCGTCGTCGCTGACGAAGGCGCAGGCGTTGGTGCTGGTGCCAGCGCGCAGCGGTTTGCTGGTCAGCTCACCTGTGCGCCGTCGTTGGTGCAGACGTGGGCGCAAGCGTTGGTGCTGGAGTATACTGACGTCGGCGCTGGTGTAGGTGCTGGCGTTGGCTCCAGTGTGGTCGTAGGCGTCGGTGCTGGTGTAGGCTCTGGCGTTGGTGCCGGCGAAGACGCAAACATTGATGTCACGGACTCAGAGCGCGGCGATTCTCGGCGTTGGTGCTGTAGTAGGCGTCGGCTTTGGTGCTGGCTGGCGGGGCACTCGAACGACATGGCGCGCGGGGCGCCTGAGCAGACGGGACGGCTGCAGGGAGACTGTCCTGCGAACGTGGCCGAAACTCTGTCTTCGGGGGGGGGGCAGGATTTGTTGCCACGTGTTGTGCTGCTGGCAACGATGCTGCTGGCATCGATGCTGGAGTCGGTGCTGGCATCGATGCTGTTGAAAATCGTGTGAGGGGGCAGAGTTTGTCCGCCTCCGTTTGGTGAAAATCATCCTGGTGGCGATGGTGGCCGCTGGAGCGTTCGTATTCGTGGTAGTCGTGGTGATGTTTGGGGGGATCGTGAACAACGATGTGGTTGTGGTCAAAGCCGTCGTGGCGGAGACGACAGACGGCTCCGCTACCAGCTGGAAAGCCAGCAGGTAGGGTCGCCAACTGGCACACGAAGACGTTGATGAAGACGTAAGCGATGAATAAGATGAGAAAGTCCGCCGGCCCCCTTGTGGGGCCACCAGGCTGCGAGGCGCGTGATTCGCAGTTTCCTGCACCAGTTGTAGTTTCTAGTTTCCAGTGTTACAGTTCTGCTTCTTGCTGGTTACTGTTGCTAGTTGACTTCTTGCTGGTTACTGAAACTAATTGATTGACCGCGCGAGGGGGGGGGGAGGCCCAAACAAGATTTTCCAGCGTCCCCTGGGCGCGTTGTCTGAATTACTGGGGGGGCTCGAAATCGACACCCCTCACGTAGATCCGCGGGGTCAGGGTCAAAAAACACAGGGGATTTGCCACATTTCTGATTCGGTGCCACCCCTCATGCAGATCCGCGGGGTCAGGGTCAAAAAACACAGGGGATTTGCCACATTTCTGAAATTCGGTGCCGCCCCTCACGCAGATCCGCGGGATCAGGGTCCAAAAACACAAGGGGTTTGCTACATTTCTGAAATTCGGTGCCACCCCTCACGCAGATCCGCGGGGTCAGGGTCCAACAACACAAGGGATTTGCCACATTTCTGAAATTCGATGCCACCCCTCACGCAGATCTGCGGGGTCAGGGTCAAAAAATACATGGGATTTGCCACATTTCTGAAATTCGGTGCCACCCCTCACGCAGATCCGCGTGGTCAGGGTCAAAAAACACAGGGGATTTGCCACATTTCTGAAATTCGGTACCACCCCTCACGCAGATCCGCGGGGTCAGGGTTCAAAAACACAGGGGATTTGCCACACTTCTGAAATTCGGTGCCACCCCTCACGCAGATCCGCGGGGTCAGGGTCCAAAAACACAAGGGATTTGCCACATTTTTGAAATTCGGCGCCACCCCTTACGCAGATCCGCGGGGTCAGGGTCCAAAAACAAAGGGGATTTGCCACATTTCTGAAATTCGAACCCATCACGCACATCCATCGCAAGGCGTGGTAACCCAAACTGCGAGAACTCCCTCGGCCCTTTCATCGCAAGGTGTGGTAACCAAGCCCTTAAACCATACACATCTTACCAATCGCCAGGTGTGGTAACCCCTCTTGTGATCAATTGGTTTTGCTGATTGCGACTCGGCTTCGCATGAAGTTTCGATACTGCTTCACGACAGCGCCAAGGCCTCATGACTTAGCTCTTCCATGGCCCATTCTCCGAGAGAAGGGGGCCGGCGGCAGGGGGCGAAGCCCTTGCGGATAAATCTGCTTATGCATGGCGATGCTCTTGCAACTCGATATGATATGAAATGAGGCGCGCAAGCCTGGCTAAAACGGCCGTGGACGCGCGGGCGCTCGGGGGAAGGGAAGGGGAAGGGAAGGGAAGAAACACTGCGGCTAGCGCCGGCCGCTCTCTTATGCTACGCTACGTGCAACATTCCCGTTCAATGACGGCCGCTCCGAGCGGTTGGTGCACCGCGTAAACGCTCGCGCCTGGGAGGGCGAGGCCGTCCGCTTCGCGGACCAGGCGCACCTGGCAGCGCCCTGCTATGGCTGCGCTCGCGAGGGCAGGAACATGAAATACCTCGGTTTACCCGCGGTCACAAAAATTCGACAGGCGCTTGGAAGAATCTCCCCTGATCCTTGAGACACGAAAGCAAGGACTCTGGTTGACCCCGGTTTCGCAGAGTTGGCGTGCCCGTACTAGGTACAGATCAACTGGACCCCACCACTGAGATCAGGGGCACTGCGTTCGGCCCCCTGGCCGGCAGCTGCCCAATGGTTGCTCGAGGTGAGTTGGTGGTGTTGTACCTTGCCTTGTGGTGCACCAGCCGATTCTTTACCTTCGTGGCGTGGCCGACTGCGAATATGTTGCGTATGTGTGTCGTCCCTAACGGCTTTCATTCTCAGAGGGAGAGGATGCTGATATTTGGAATATGATCAGACAAATCATGGAGACAAGATGTTACACTCATATTGCGGCTTTATGAGCCCAAGCACATCCGACGGCCACTGACGTGGCGGACGGGAGAACACTACAACAATTTGGTCTGGGCAATCTTGCCGCGGACGAGTTCGCTGGACATGCGGCAATGGCGGTTAGACTCCCAGTGGCAGACCGCACAAGGGTGTTGCCACATGAAGAGAACTCTCTTAATCAGATTGCGTATTGTGCGCGCCGTGCTTGACAGTACTTAAGCCCCGACGGATGTGGTTCGGGATGCGAATGACTCGAGGAGAGGCCTAAGTGAGTGCCAACCTCTCCCTCTCGGCCCCCCTGCCGTCTGCTGCTGCTGTCGCCGCTCTGTTTCTATATAAGCACCATTTGGCCGAATGCCAGTGGAAGTGCCTTAGGTGCTACCAAACTGCCACCCTCGCCACGGTGGAACAAAATCGATCAGTCGGAGTGTCAGCGTCCGAAATGATAAATTGTTGATGGGAAAATTTTCTCGCCTAGTCAAAAGGTTCGAATTCATATCGCGGGGGGGGGGGCCCACACTGCGCACACCCTGAATGTGCATCTGGTCCTTCAGGTTTGGTTCTGCACCGGCTGTGTTGCACTTGCCGATAAGGCTCTGCGTTCCCTTAGAAGTGCTTATACTGGCAAGGAGGAGACGAATCCAATTAAGGATTACCTTGACATGATCAAACGGGGTTCAGTTCCTAAGTCGAGCCGAGGAATCGGCTCGACGCTCAAAGGTCCCGAGGCCCATGTTGTCGATGCAAGCCAGCGAACTCACCGGCATCCGCAGCGGTGTCCACTCCACTCCACCCTCCACTCCACGCCACCCTCCACTCCACTCCACTCCACTCCACTCCACTCCACTCCACTCCACTCCACTCCACTCCACTCCACTCCACTCCACTCCACTCCTGTGCACTCAACTCCGCTCCACTACACTCCACTCCATTCCACTTCACTCCACTCCACTCCTCCTCCTCCTCCTCCTCCTCCTCCTCGTCCTACTCTTCCTCGTCGCCCTCGATCCTCGATCCTCGAACCTAAATCCACCGCGTGGCGGCGAGGCGGCGGCGGCGAGACCGTCATGCGACTCAGGCGGAGGGCGACGCCGCGCTGGCGGCGCCGCCGTCCCGCAGCCGGAGGGGCGCGCGCCCCATCTGGAGCAGCCTGGGAGTGGGCCTCCCCTCCTTCTCCTCTCTCTCCTCCTTCTCCTCCTCCATCTCCTCCTCCATCCCCTCCTCGTCGTCATCCTCCTCTTCTTCTTCTTCCTCCTCCTCCTCCTCCTCCTCCTCCTCCTCCTCCCTAAAGGCACTGGGGCACCCGAGTGGGTCCCCACCCCCGTCACCCAGGGGGACCCCCGGGCGTTGGGGTTATGGTCCTGGGTCCCTATCCACAGAACACGTCACCTACCAGGCGCAGCCTCTTGGAGAACTGGTCCCGTGTCTTCCGGAGGGCCGAATATGAAGGCGGAGGCGAAGCGCTAGGCGCATGCGGCAGTAAAGGCGGCACGGCAAGCGCAGGGAGAGGAAAAGAGAGTGGCGGCCGGGGGCGGGCGGCTTCGGGTCGGTGGTGGTCATGTCGTAAATGGACAAAAATATTAAACCCTTGACACCACGCCCCCCCCCAAAAAAAACAAAGTTGGCTTCAAGCAAAAAATCCGCCGACTCTGTCGGCGTGTGGAAGACGCATCCCGGTGTCGTCGTCTTGCGTGGATCACCGTCGTCGTCGTCGTCGTCGTCTCCGTCGTGTCCTCGTCGTCTCCGTCTCCGTTGTCCCTCGTCGTCTTCGTCGTTCCCCTTCTCCTTGAGCGCGCGAGCCAAAGCGACATTGAGCAACGTCGTAGTTGAGTCGTGGCGAAGCCCCTCCCTACCCTCCCCGCCGGGGGGGGGGGGGGCCGGGGGGGTCGCCACCCAGATACGCATCCTCCCCGGGGGGTCCCGGAGCTCAGAAAAGCTTCAAGACGAGCCAAGAGCGCCAGAAGACACCCCCAAAAGGGTACAAGAGGGCCTCGACTCGACGAACGATCGCCCCAAGACGCCCAAGACGGCCCGAAGACGGCCCAAGAGGCCCTCAAGACGCTCCAAGAGAGCCCCAAGAGCACTCCCACGAGGGCCCCAGGAGCCAAAATCGTCAATTTTACGTCGGTTTTTTAATGATTTTGGCCTTCTCGCCTTTTCGGCTTTCCGACACTCCAAGACGGCCCAAGAAGCCCCCAAGAGGCCCCCAAGAACGCACCAAGAGGCCTACAAGAGGGCCCCAAGACGGCCCAAGAAGGCCCCAGGACAGCCCAAGAGGCGCCCAAGACGGCCCAATAGGGCCCCAAGACGGGCCCAAGAAACGGCCAAGAGGGGGACGAGGAACCGAGAATTCGAGACTTCCGCCCTAAGAGGCCCCCGGGAAGCCCCAAGAGGCCCCCAAAAGGCCCCAAGAGGCCCCCAAGCGGCGCCAAGACGCCCCCAAGATGCGCCGAAGACGGCCTCCGGAAGCCCCAAGAGGCCCAAAAGAGGCCCGAAGAGGCCCCACAACGGCCCCCAAGAGGCTTCAAGTTGCCTTCCAGACGCCCCCGAGAGGTCAACCACGAGATCCCAACCAACATCCGTAAGGCCTCCTCCTCCTCCCCCTTCACCCTGCCTCCTCCTACTCCCTTCCGCCTCCTCCTCCTCCTCCTCGTGCCCCCCCCCTCGTGTTGTCTTTCGTCGTCTTCAGGGTCGGCGGCAACGGCCGCAAGGCCTTCGCAATATTAAACCCTTGACACCACGCCCCCCCCAAAAAAATCAAAGTTGGCTTCAAGCATTCGGCAGCATAGGCGTGAGAGGACAAACAAAATTAGACCCCCCAGAGCCTCCGGGAGGCCGAAGCCAAGTTGAAATTGGGGGGGGGGGGGGGGGGGGGGGGGGGGGGGGGCGAACGCGGTGTCGAAGACGAATGCGGTTTAATTTTTTTGTCCCCTTACCGCGGCACTGGTGGTCATGGCCCAGTCGTGTGTCAATCGCGCATGTGATGGTAGATGAAGCTTTCCCCGTGCTTCATCAGGAACCAGGCGCGTGTTTAGCGTCCACATTTGGTTGATGAGTCCTCTGGTTCGCTCGCGGTGCACCACGGTCCAGCCGCACCACACCAGCATCTTTTCAAATTTCCCCCCACACTTCCTTTCTCCCACAACACCGCATCATTGGCCGAACGCCACACCTTGACCTTATCATGCAAGAGAATCGGTAATGAAATGAATACAATGATTTCCGTGTTTTGAAATCCGCCCTGAATGCGGTGGTATCCTGGCAAGTATGGGCACCCATGCAGAAACTTGCGTGCCTGTTCTGGTTTGCCAAAACGTTTCCGCCGCGGGTTGTCCTCCGCGCGGCAGGAGAGGCCCTTCCCCATGATCGACGGGATGTGGGTCATTTCCGTGCCGTGGACAAAGTACATCACATCCGTTAGAGTAGCGACCTGTCGGTGAAGGTTTTCCAAACCAGCAAGACCTAGTCTGGCGTGGTCATTGGTGGCTCGCGCGTGCAAGCATTCGTCCGCTGGGAGGATTGCTGGATCGTCGCGTTCTGCGCCAGCTGTCGCGCTTCCGCGGTAGATCCCCTTGATCACCAAGCGGTTTTATCTGTTCGCCCGAGTGATCCACCACCTCCGCCATTATCATCGCCACCAATGCAATGTAGTCCGCGCGTGGCTCGTTAGGGCCCATGTACTTCACGGCCGCGGGGTGGCCCATCCTACCGCGCCGATGCGCGGCGATGTCCGCGAGAGAGGCCCAGCCATCAACAATGTTAAAGTTGGGCACTCATGGAGAAACTGCTCGCTGCATCGGCCCTTGCCATCAACATAACGAAATGGTCGGTGGCGCAGTATCGTAGAAAACCATTGATTCATGAGTGCGAGATCCTCGCGATCAGGAAGGGCCCGCTTGTTGTTCGCCATAAGCGGGCCTTCCTCCCTGATGGGTCGCATGGGCAACTTCTCGCGGAGGAGGTTGCGCGCGCGTTGCAGGTCTCTCTCTGCGTCGTCAATGCAAGGCCGTGAGCGTTGGGAATCGCACGTGGAAGCGTTGTATCCGTCAGCATCCACAATCCGATCACCATCGTCGCCATCCATAGCGCGGAGCTCTACGGATCCCTCACGGCCGCCTCTCTTCTCGGCGTCTCCGCCTTTGCCCTTTCCAGAGTCTGACAGGTTGCCAGTGCGGCTTGCGGCGCGGCGGCGGTCTCGCCCGTCTGCTCCCGGGCGTTCCGCGGGAGGGGGTGGCGCCTATGGGAGAGGCGGCTTCGGTTGGCTGCCAGCGGCAAAGGAAGAAGCTCCAGAGCCGGCGCTGGCACGCTTGAGGTCCCATGCTGTTGGCGCCTCGCAGGGGCGGCCTCCAACCCCCGCGGCGCGCGTTCTATCTCGGGACTGTTGGGGCTGAAGGGCCGCCGCTTCCCGTGGCATAGGGGCTGATTTGCCATTGAACATAGCGGCGGCGGCCGCCGCCTTCGGCCCCCTTGAGCGTTTCCGCGGTTCGGTGGGAGATGCCTTCGATGTCGGTTCCAACTTAGGCTCCCCTGAACTGGCGGATTTGGCCCGGTGCTTCGCAGTCGGCAGCGGGGTCCCATCAGACCGAGCACTCCGCTCACAGCGAAGACCCGGGGGCGGAGCGGCAGAGTCCGACTCGAAAACGTCAGTCTTGTCTGCGTGCTCGGAAGAGGAGGTCGGCGATATGCCCGCTGGCCCCCCGGCGCATTCAGGGCGCTCCTCCCCCCCTTCTTCTGGATGGCCTGCCTCCTCCTGGCTGGCCCCCTGCTCGGTCGAGTCGGACTTGGAGGCAGTGCTGGCGCAGCCTCCGCTGGGGCGGCCGCGCCTGGAGCACTTGTAGCGTTTCCGCTCTGGTCGGCATCGGCAGCGCCCTCCTTCGGCTTCTCCGGCGTTTCCGCCGCCCCCTCCAGCGTCTCCGCCCCCCCCCCCCCCCTCGCCGTCGTGATAGTGGAGGTCGCGCTTCTTCAGTTCGCGGTGCTCGGAGAAGTCTGCCCAATGATGGGCGGCGGCGGCGCGTTTCATCTCGCCGAAGGTTATGCAGCGGGCCTCCGAGCGCGGAGAACCGCGAGATTCTGCCCCCGTCGCCCAGCTCGCAGCGCTGGGCGGCGCGCCAGTGGCGGGCCCGTTTCTCTGTCCAGCCTTGGCCGCGCCAGTGGCCCATGTCCTCGCGAGAGACGCGGGCGCGGGGGTCGCCCATATCGGGCGGCGCCCCCCCGGGGCCGCGCGAGCCGCCCCGCGGGGCGCGATGCGCCACGCAAGCGTCGGAGCCGGTCATGCCCCACCCAATGTCCACAAGGTCTTCGGGCGCAATCACAATCGCGGGCCCGACTCCCTGCCGTGGCGCGTTTCCACGCGGCGCGTCTGCCCCCGTCGGCATGGTCGCCTCCGCCGAGGGCGCCTTCTCATGCGCTTCCGCAGAATTGGGCAAGCCGGCATTCTATAGCTCGCCTGGCGCAGCAAGGGCCGTCGCTCAGCTTCGGGGGCGCCCCCCCGCGGCGGCGGCTCCGCCAAAGTCGGAGATCGCGTCGTCGAACGAACGAGCCATCGCCTCTCGGTGGACGCTGACGCATATATGAAGGGCATTTGCTGCAAGGGGATCGACTTCGGGCAATCGACGCATTCCGCGTCCTCGACTGTTTCTCGAGCTGTCAGAAGGGCCGCGTTCTCTCCCGCCCCTTTCCCCTTCGAGTCGCACAAGCTCTGAAAATGCGCATCGCTTCCGCGTCGGTTACGCAGCGCCCTCCTCCCGTCTCCGTCCACGGGGTTGAGTTCCCCGCCTTTCCCCTTCCCCCTTTCCCGTGGAACGGCGTCTACCTCGACCCTTGGCCAGGGGGATTTCTTCGAACTCGGCTTCGGAAACTGCGACCGCGAATGTGGCGCGGCCTTTCCCGCGCGACCGTCGGTTGCGACGCCCGCCATTTCCGCGCCCCCCCCCCGTCGGTGGAATGCCTTCCGCAATGCCCTGCGCACTCGCCGCGCGGGCTTCTTTGTGGGCCGCCTCCAGCGGCGCGTTGCGCGCCGGTAGCCTTGGAATAAATGTCCATCGGCTTCCGCGTCGCCGAAGCCGGGGGGCACATCTGACATGTCTTTCCGCTCGGCCCAGTCGGGCGATGACGCGCCAGCATCAGTCCCAAAGCCGACGGGCGAATCTC